GGGAACGTGGGCGACCCACCGTCCGCCTCTCGCAGTCCCCTCTGCCTGCTCCACTCCAGCCCCCCCACCCGGCCCAAAGTTTCCCCCGGCGGCGAGGAAGTGGGCTTGCTTGCCAGAAGGGCCGGCGAACAGGTTGCCAACCCCTGAGCGGGAATCGCTGTTGAAATTAAGGCTCATAGCCCCTCCGTGTCTTAATTGCTTCAATATATTTATAATTTACCTTACCGTGTTTTCCCGAAAATAAGACAGGATCTTATATTAATTTTTGCTCCAAAAAACACATTAGGGCTTATTTTCAGAGGATGCTGTATTGTTTTCCATGTACAGTCCACGTTCATTCAAATACAGTCATGTCATCTTATCCATGTTCATTCAAATACAGTCATGTTCTTCTGGCTGCTGCACAATGGGGGAGGGCGGGCTTTCACTTCACTAGGGCTTATTTTTGGGGTAGGGTTTATATTACAGCATCCTGAAAAAAACATACTAGGGCTTGTTTTGAGGTTAGGTCTTATTTTCAGGGAAATGGTAGTATAGGCCATTCCGTCGCCTTCTGTGAGGTGGCAGAGCCAAATCTCCATCTATTTTTACTCTTTGTAATGTCAGTAAATATGTTTTTCCATTTAGAAGGAGAAAGGTTAACTTCTTCCCCAACTTAACATGTGTGCATAACAAGATGCCTTGGGGACATCATATGCAAGTTACACTTAAAGGTACCTACCCTTAGGTTACACCTGCATATGGACCTATGATATGAAAGTACAGCTTAGGTTGGAATTTCTTCCCCACATCCCAGTAAGGTTGATCAATATTCTACAGATCAGATTACTGCTGAAAATTAACCTGATACTGTAGTCAGTATGGGTAAAAATTGACTTAGCATTGACTTGCCCATTTATGAGATACAATAGATGGGAAAGGATTTAAAATGTCACACGAGTAGATACTGTATAAGAAAACAAAATCTGGTGACACACTTAAGAGTAATGGACTTTTTTCAGTGTGAATTTTCATGGGCTACTTCTTTAGCACATGGAGCACAATAGTGAGACCACAGGTTTATAAACTGGATATAGATTCTTACAGGGATGGGGTCCCACTTGATCAGATAACATAAGTTCTTCCTGTACTTGGCTAATCAATTTGTTTGAGCTAATCTCTATGATTCCACAGATTCAACACTGTGATGTAGTTCACCTAGGAACTCATAGAATTACCCCTAAGGACAAGAATTGTGAATGTCCATGCATCTAATTTACAAACACTTAATACTCAAACATGCTAACAATTCAATTTGTTCGTCTCATTTTTCTTATGATGGATGTTTCTGTGTTTCTGCTTGTGTAGATGCAATGGAGACCTATGCTTGGCTAGCAGCACTGCACCAGCTCTGCATAAAAGAATGACATTAAGCACAGGAATAAGAACCTTAGGATTAATGTAGGAGCAGTTTGACAATGGAATGCACTGCTTTGAGACGTGCTGGAGTCTCCTTAATTTTGAAATAGGAATCAAATAGACTGCATTAGCAGAGGGTTGTATTAAATGACCCTTGAGGGTATTTTCTAGCTATCTAATTATAAGAAATGCTTCATTATAGAATGCATGTCATCTATAAGTTCTGGTATAATGACACCATGTGAGGTCTGTATCTTGAGTATCATATTTTAGTAAAAGCTTACGTGAGGTTGCCTTGGCATGTCTGCAAGACTGGTATAACTTCCCCTGTCTTTTCTCTAAATCGTGGCCAATTCTATTTCCTTTTAATTGGAAATAGAATAATTTTCTTGTTTTCAGTCCTGAAAGCAACAGGCCAATAATTTGAAATAATGGAGTTTCAATGTGTTTAACTCGTGCATGGCATGACTTTTTCTTGTCACTAGCTGGCAGTGTTCTCAATCCATCTCAGAACAGACATATCTGGTCATCCAAAGACTGAAATGTCATTATGGAAACATTGGAGTGGGGGCACTGTGCAGAACAAGTGGGTTTGAAACAGGTATTATAAGACTGAAATCAGAATAAGCTAACCAGACCCTCTGATAGTCTAAGGGTCAATAGAGCTGTGTTAGGACATGTTGGTGATCTTGTTTTTCAAAGAAATGAAGCCAATTTGCTCATGCCATCATTTTGGAGGGACAATGCTTAACTCTTCCTTCTTACCCTTTTCCTGGTCCATGTGCCCCTTTAGCTATTTGATTTTGTGGAACAAGACCCAGTACTGTACAAGCACACAAACCAGCATATCAGTAGTTTGGTTCTAACTGAGTTGGGTTTTTTTTAGCCCTTCTCCTAGAATAAACCCATAATTTTGACATTCTGAATACTGCAATTTTATTTTTGAATCCAGTGTGTAATCTATATATTTTAACAATATATTTGGATACTGATAAATTTTTTAACTGTTTCTCTAGTTGCAATCCTGTTCATATTTTCCTGGGTGTACACTAATTGAAATCGGTAGCATAAATTATACAGTGTTGCTTTGTTTGTAATCAGTGGGCAAAATCCAGCAAATGTTAAATATTTCTAATGCCTGCTATCCTGAGTGAAATACTGTTAAGCTGTGTACTTGACATCAAAGAGAGAGAAAAGTGCTGGTTTTTTAGAAATTGCCCAGTATTAATTTCCTTTGTTTGCTTGTTTATCGTACCTCTCCTCCTCCACGAGTTTCCTCCCTCATATTTTCCTTCTCTCTGTTTTTATCTTTACTTTACTTTTTATATTATAATAGAAGATCAAAATTTTGGTGATGGAATGGAACATTTGGGGCAATTGGAATTTGGAACACAGAGTATAGGTTTTGAACTACAGAAGCTAGGTGAAAACTAATTTTCTTCTCACCCGGATGGTAATAAAAATATATATGCTCAATAGCAAACAACACATTAAATTCACTATGGAGTTTTGTGGTTTTTTTTTTTAAACTACCAAACAATTTAGCCTGGTGAAGGGGAAATCTCCAGATAAGGTCAGCTATATGGGATAGCGATGTGGAATATACCTGTATGGAATACAGTAGATGGTGTAGCAAGGCAGTGACTTAACAGGCGTGCAGCAATTCAAAAATACAAATAAAAGATCAACAAGGATACTATACAGACTTTGCAAATAGTATCTCAAAAGGGGAGGGAGGGAGACTAGTATGCCACTTGCTAAAATTGTCTTATAATAGATTTTCCTTAAAGCTTCTAGTGAAAGTGAGAAGCAGCACATTTGCTCCTTTTAATAATCTCAGAATTTTGAATTGCTGTTTTAAAAGCACTGTTGCTTCTCTAATTTTTCATTGGCTTTGTTTAGACAAGAGCAAAATTATTCAGCTGAAGGAGGCAATGCAGAATGAGAAGCATTGTAGCCACTGGACAGTTTTTCAAACCATTTCAGCACAGTTGGTTGGTTGTTATATACCATATGAGGGTGAGAATATCCTGAAAATGTTCTTCCATTACAGGAATTTCATATTTTCTCAGCACTCAAGGAACATTGTTTTATGAATATTTTCTCCCTCCAGCACTATCAGTGGTGTTTCAAGTGCCTGGTGGAATGTGGTTCCATAGACCCATGAGCATTAATTAGAACCATTGCATTGGACATAATGGGTGACATAGGGAGCAACTAGAACAGAGGTTGTTCTGAGCTGTCATGAAGTTCTATATACAGCTGCCCATCAGTTTGTTTCGGCTGAAATGGTTGTTCATGTAGGAAATATTTACTTACACCATGAAGTGTTTAATTATTCAGGGGAGTAGTGTTGCAAGTGTCTGCATGGTAGAGGGCAAAATTCATTACATTTCTGTCTGTAGCAATTCACTTCTCTGCTGTCATTAACACCACCCTCTTCTGCGCCAGCACCTCTATTGCTTCAGTTTACAAAGTGACCTAGCACTTAGTCGATATTTTTTGATCTACTAGCTGAAGTTGATTTTGGTTTCCTCTGTCCATTTGTCTGTATTTTCCAGAAAAGAAAGAATATATATATTCTTTCTTTTCTGGAAAATACAGCCAAATATATATATCCAGACAAATAGAAATATATATATAGAAATATATATCCTCCTTCTTTTTCAGTTTCTCCTTTTCCATTCCAGAGCTGACCAAAATATTTAAGCCATATAGGATATATATATATATAAAATCCTATATGGCTTAAATATTTTGGTCAGCTCTAGAATGGAAAAGGAGAAACTGAAAAAGGAGGATAAAGGTAAAGGTAAAGGTTCCCTTTGACAATTTGTCCAGTCGTGGCCGACTCTAGGGGGCGGTGCTCATCTCCGTTTCCAACCCATAGAGCTAGCGTTTGTCTGAAGACAATCTTCCATGGTCATGTATATGTATACATACACACACACACACACTGACAAAAACCATGGCATTAGCTGTTACCCCAAAAGAAACACTCCAGAGCGATAAAAAATAAGTGTAACCTTGGATGCTGGATTTAATGCTTTGAGGAGCAATAAATGTGCTAAGCAACCAGTTCAATGCCAGCTATGACAAATGTTTCTTTCTCCCTTGTAGTGCTGTTTTTGTTATTTGCCATCAAGTAGTCATAATGGTGACCTATGAATTAGTAATTTACAAAGTATCACTGAGAGCCCTGTTTAAGTCTTGCAAACCAAAGGCTATTATGTCTTTACCAAGCCAATCCATCTCATATTATCTTTTCCTTTTGTATTATTGCTTTCGTCTTCTGCTAGCAATTATTGTCTTTTCCAGAGCATCTTGTCTTCTAGTGGTATGTCCAAATACAATAGCTTCAGATTATTTATTTTCACTTCTAATGAGAGTTCAGGTTTAATTTGATTTAGAATGTATTTATTTGTTTCTTTGAAGCTTTATGCTATTCATAACA